TGTATTTGATTGTGTTTATCTGCAGTTAGTTACACGAATTCAGATGGGATGAAATCGGATAGGGATGAAATATGGTTTAAGAGTTTTTAAGAGTTTTTAAGAGTTTTAAGAGTTTTTAAGAGTTTTAAGAGTTTTTAAGAGTTTTAGCCAAATGCTTTATAATATAGTATAGATAATATAAATCTATGATATAAAAACAAGTCTATTATAAATTTGTGAATAATTTCTCTAAAAATAAATATATTGTTTGAAAAACTAAAACTAAATATATTTCAATTTAATACAATTTTTAACGAGACATCACGTCACCCTTCATTGTGACTCTTAGGGGTTGTTTGTTTATCTCTTAATAGTTCCATTAAGAGACAACCTCTGAATCCTTAAGAAATAAATCTTGTTTGTAAAATAAAAGTTTGTTTGTTAATAGTTCTAAAACCCTCTGAATGATTTTGTATAATGGATCTTCCTTGACCATTAAGAGCCCTAATTTCATTGTACACAATTACCAAACAATTATATTTCATTTTGCACTATATCATGAGAGTCTCTTAATCATTCTACACCCAAACCATTCAGCAATTACCAAACAACCCCTTAGATTTGAATATTGACCTTATCGACATACCACGACATAATGTTATCTATATACAAAAGCACAAGATTTATGCTTTCTCAGGCGCGGACCTAGATCTTTCAAACTCGTTCTCAATAAATAAACAAAAATCTCTAAACTTTTGTAGTCCCGAGTTGCGCTGAGCCATACTTTGGAGTTGAAAAGGGGCATGATCGGGTCCTTACAACCTATTCAATACAAAGTGTATAGTTATAAAAAAAATGTATTTTTAGGTAAAATTTGTGGTGTGTCATTAAATAAGGTAAAAGGGGAAGATGGAGGGGTAGGTGATGTAATTAAATTAAAGGTATGTGATCGGCGTTCAGATAGACAGCTACTTTTGGTTGTTTGCCTTTTGACCCCTTCCTTTTTTTCAATATTTGCAGTCAGGGGTCCCCACACTCTCTCCTCCCAACTTTTAAACCCTTCTTTTTTCTATTTAAAATTCCTATTTTTTATAAAATTTAATTAAAAATAATAATTAATGGCGTCCTCTATTTTAACCTCTGTTTTACCAAACAATCCCTATTTCGTCCTGTTTTTCTCCATCGTTTCATCTCATCAATGGTGTTTTTGAATTATATTTTATTCAAAATTAATGAATTTATATGTTGTTAATCATTAATGAATATTTTCTTTTGAATGTTATTAATCATTAATGAATATATGTACGATTAATGTTAGTTATAATAAAAACTTCAGAGAGTGTACTTTTAATTTATTATTATGAGTGTTTTTGGACTTTCATGTAACTGATAATAAATTGTGATAAAGACCCATGAAACTGGTTTATTGAAAATCAACTATGCATTAAAATTCTAGGGGCCTGCGTATTTGTAAAACTGTATCGTATTGTAAACAAATTTGAAACAAAAATTGTGACAATGACGAGAGCTGGTCATTAAGAATTTGTTCTGGGCGTGAATTGATGGACTGGTTTTGAAGCAGTTGATACAAAAAGAAAAAAAAAATAGAACTCGTAAAAACGTGGTATTATGAATTTTATTACGCTGTGTTTTTTGAAAAAACAAGAGTATAAAATATATTTCGAATTACAATTTAATTTTTTACTTTTGCACAAAATAGAAGTGCTTAATAGTGTATGGTGAACACTAATTACAAATCTAAATTAGATGTTGGCATTGTCATGGTTAATATATAAAATGTTACCCAACGATAATGTTGTTCATAGGGGTGCTCAAAAACCCAACTAACCTAACGTGAAATAACTCAACCCCGAAGCAACCTGGTATCTAATCGAGTTGTAAAATTTTCAAACCATAGGTATTGGTTGATATTTGGTTACTATTATATGTTCTCAACTCAATCCAATAAACCCGATATCATTTTATTTATTGGATTTAATATGATTGTTGAGTTTATATTAGTATATACATTAGATAATTACACTATCGCGTACGCTTTTCATATATATACATATTTTCAATCTATTATTCGTCTCTATGTAACTCATTTGTATATATGTTCAGTAACTGTAAACATATATATGTAAATTAAGAAAATTAATTGAATGTGGTATACGTAAGAGGTATGGATAAGTTGTATCAAATGATTGATGATGAAAAAAAATTATAAGTAGAGAAATAACATATTCAAGGTTAGAAGAATATTTTAATGTACCAAATAATCAACTTGACCAACCCGATCAAGCCGTACATTTTAGGTTGGGGTGGGTTGCACTTTGAGTTGGGTTGGGTTAAGATTTTTAAACCGCAATCATTAGATTGGGCTGTTCAAATGTCTTCAACCCGATTAACTCAATCTATGAGCACCCCTAGTTGTTGACATACAAATGTTTCATGATGAGATGTATTTGAAGCCATAAACCCAAAGAGATTATTACAGGGATACTTTTTATCTTAAACTACTTATAAAAGAACTTCACTAATAGAGTTATTATGCAACCTAATAAAAACGAGACTTAAACTAGAATCAAGTTCAACATCGTCTAATTCTATAATATCACAAAAGAGTTTCATCAATTTTCACAAACTAACAA